GCATTATAATGCAAAATTTCACTCAGCTATAAGGTTTCTACTTCACTTTGGTTACAGAGAATCTGCGAGGGTGCCTAGATTTGCATGTATTAACAGACTAGGTGAAAAACATTTAATGGGATTTGAAGAGCTAAACATGTTAATCTCATTTTTCACAAGTCTAAAGGATGACTTGATTTTAATGTTTATTAAGTACCCTCTAGTGAGGGTAAAATACTACAAGTCCATGTATAAAGTGAAATGTACAGCATTAGCCAAAAGCTAAATCTGAAGCCACTTTAATTCCAAAGAGATAATGCCCAGTTTCTACAAGGAAGCAATAAACCACTGGATCCACCTGCTGATGGAAAAAGTGTTCAAAAAGTAGTTTTGTTGAAAGTAGAAATCCTTTGAAACATTGTGTACAATTCAGGTTAATTACAAGCACTAGCCAGATGAGTTTAAAGACAAGCCATAATGGTTATTTCACGCCTTTGCCTCTTGAAGAGCTTCAAGTTTAAGGTGGCAATTCATTTTCTGAGTCTCCCTTGAAAACCTTATTTTTAAGTAACTAGAAGCAAACAACTCTTATTATAAAGATACAGCCAGTGATAAACATCAAAGGCAATACTCTAGGGATGAACACAGATGCAAAACTCTACAAAGGAAGCAGCAGACAGCATAGCCTATTATTTTCTTTTTTATCAAAACCTCCTCCTTTAGGAAAAATAATTGTGGGAATTTACATATCTACACCTGCATATCAGTGAACAACGTACTGCAAAATTATATTTACAGCACTCTTAGCTGCTCATATTGTTTACAGGTGCCAAACAGGGCTTTCTGAGCTCAGACATGCACCTCTGTGCTTATCTATATGGAGTTATGGTTATGGAGGACTTCAAAAGTGTTCGGTATAGATTCAGGGTAAAGTACTAGTAAGGCCCTTCACAAAGCATCAGGAAAATGGAAAGTATTCACTAAAATCCTTACTTTATGGGAAGAATTTTGCAACTTTTCAAATTAAATCATTTAGAACAAAAATTTTGAATTGATAACCTACATCACATAACCCTTCATAAAAAATTACTGATGTTGAGGGTTCTGAGCAACTTGCTTGTGGTTTCCCTTTACATGTCCTGCATTTCTCTAGAAGAAAAAAAGGATTATACTGCTGTTTTGGCATTTGTATTTGGGCCTTCTTTCCAGCTTGAGTAATGGCTATATTTAGTCTTTATTCAGGCAAAAATAAAGTCTGAAGTCCTGAACTTCCTGACTTCTAGCTAATTAGTTTGTTTCAGAAGATGACACAGATCAAGTCAGCACAGTAAAACCTCATTTCAAAGCCTTAGAAACGAGATTTTTTTCTTTTTTTTCCCCTCAGTTCACATGTAGCTCCAAGTCAGTGCAGCTCTATGAAAAAGGCCTAGCAGATGGACTGTACCTAGCATGCAACAGGCCTTGGGCAAGGCTCATTTCCTCAATGAAGGAAGAGAATCCAAGGGGAATTCAGAGCAAATTACACATTTAAAGTGAGTGATATTTAAAAACTACATTTTTTAATCTAGAAAGAGGATAGTGTTTATCAGATCTCATAGTTCAGGCTTGCAGCTGAGTCACTGCTCATTTACATTAAATCCCATTAACCTGTTATGTTAAACCTATACCAAGTTTTCAACCCCATTAGCCCTGCTGCAAGAGTCTTAATCACATAATTTAACTTCTTTGCTTTACCTCATACTCAACTGAATTGTGGACCCAACACTTTAGCTGTCATTACCCCTTGAAAGAAGCCATCAAATTATATTTTTGCCCAACTGTATTGAACACTGAGAACTAAAGCTTGTTTTGCCTAGAAAAATATATTAAGCTTGCTACCCTCAAAAGTGTACCTAAAAAGCTTTAAGTTAACCAAAACAAAAACCTTCTGTGCAAAATTTGTAACTAAAAAAAGGTACTTTGAATTATAAGATGTATGCTGCTGTAATTGTTTTTTGTCTTCTAATCTGTTTCATGTAGTTACACCATTATGAGCCTTATCTGAGTATAAAACATATTTACCTCCTGCATATCAGGAGTAAATAGAGACAAGCTTTGCTGAATTAAAGCAGATAACAATGCTAAAACCCCACAAATTATGTATCTAACTATAAATACACAAGAATTTGTTTTTTGTAAGATTGCATTTTAACTGCCTTGTGTTTCTCCAGGAAGTGAAATTGTCCTTTGGACCAAACGAAACATTTAAAACAATCTACAGGAAACACTGCCCAATAAAGCCTGAATATTAGCTGTTACAGCTTGATCAGGGTCTCTCTTACCATCACAGAAAGAAAAAAAATAATTTACAGTAACAGTAAGTAGAGATCATATCTCCAACATCTGAGCATTCAATAAGACAGCAGATTGCTATAAGCTTATCTATCAGCACAACCATTAAAAGGTCATTGCTTTTAATTGAGGAGACAAATCAGTGTCTGCATTTAGTTACAGATCACTGGTTTACATAAAACTCTAGTACCAAAGAAGGAAATTCAAACTGCCAGTCCTAGATCAATCTTTATCTTAAAGTTGTTTGCATCTATTTTTGCCCATGTCTAATATCCTCAAAAACAAGAGAAATTGTTTCTAGTATTTTAGTTCCTACTTTTGAAATAAATATGACTTGTCAAGATGCTCTATCTGATGACAGAAAAGAGTAGCATCTACTTCTTTTCTTTAGTTTTGTTACCAGCTATTAAAAATGGCAAGTATTCCAAGGTAAGGATTACATTTCCAGTTTCTAAAACTGACTGAATGAAACAATCAATAGTGTTTTCACTAACACAACTCTTTTTTTCAAGTTGATTATTACAAAAATAAACTTTTCTTTCATTTATAAAAACACGTGAATGGCCTGAATGTATCATCTCCAGTTAATACAACACATCCATCTTCTACTGATACTAGTTTAGCGCAGGAAACATATCAATATATTCTCCACCTCTTTTCTATTAAGAAAGGAGACCATGACTCAGATAGCCACTGCAACAACATGATGATGATAAACCAAAGCCATAATTTACACAGACCGACCTGTGTACTCAGAAGACTAGTTTTAAGCATCAGCATATTTCTTCCATTGACAAAAGCAAACTAAGGAAAAAATCATGTAAATTATTAAAAGTATTAAAAAAAAAATCAAGTATGGGTGGAATTAAGTAAGTTTCCAATCCAATCCCAGTTCCTATAATTAAGCAAAGTCTGAGGAATTAGACTACTTTAATTTCTCTCACAAAGGTCAAGACTAACAAGCTTATCAATGCCAGTGAGTATATTCTGCTTTCAGCAGATACTGGCCAAGTCAAGAAGCTGCTTACAAGAAACAAAGATCTCTATGACTTGGACAAAAGTGATCTCATTTTGAAAGGCAACATATTTGCTCTTCTAAATTTTGCCAGAGTTTCTATTTTAAATCACAAAAACAGGACAGTTTAAACATGAATTGAATGATTATATTTGTCAAAATATCTAAACACTCAAAACCGCATTAAGTCTAAAAACAGCAATCAAAAAAAATGGATGAATAATTTGAAGTATGGGGGAAAGGAAGGGGGGAAAAAAGAATCTATCACCCTTGGGAAATGCTATGAGCCATCAGGAATGAGACTAACACATATACTAAATTTGAAGATAACAAGGGAACTGCCCTGCAGAAGAGACCTGGCTTGACAGACCAGGAACAAAAAAACTAATGGTCCTGTTACCACCACTAGTACAAAAATAAACCAAGTTGTATATTTTCAAGTAACCAAAGTAGAGAAAAACTGAGTGGCTGTTAAGAACTAGAAGCAGTCAAAAAATCAGGAGTTACACAATACTGATAATAAGAGGGGAATACAGGACAACTATTTATCTATCAATTATTAACGCTGTTGAGCATTTTCTAAGGATAGAATGCACATGCAGTACAACCGCTGATCATACAGAGGAGCTGAAAGTTGGCCAGAGTAAGAACAACTGAAGGCTTGGACCTTGAAGAAGACTGGACCATTCTGAAGGCTATAAATCTTATGTTAAGATCAGTGTTAGCACAATCAATATGACTGTGACCTTAAAGAGTACTATCAGTGTTGCAATGTTTTTTGCAATTCAAACTGTGAAAAAACTGTTTATATGCACAGGGAAGCAAAGTGTAAAGTAAGACTGCAAAAAATAAAACCAACATGATTTCAATTAGCTTGTTTTTTTAATGAAACCAGGCTAAAACTCATTCACAGCCTTACTAAAGTTTCACAGATGAATAAGCACTAAACAAAATATTACCAGTCTCTTGAAAAAAAAATACAAAAAATCAACATTAAGGCCTACATAGATGGAAAGTCAAGGAACATTCCAGCATTAGCCATCTGCTTGCTAGTTACTACTTAACTCCAGAATATCCATAATACATCTTCTGCCCAAATAACAGTCAAAAAGGGGACATTTAGTAATACAGCTGAAAAAATTTATCATTCCCTATAATTTCCACCATAACTCTAAGAGAATTAGAAAAAAACAGTCTTAAGATTTTTAGTTGTACTGGTATCATCGCTCATGGAAGAGTCCATGTTTACATCTCATTAAAAATTATGCAATTCTCTTATCTGTAACTTTCCACTGAGAATCTCAAGTTCCACTGAGAAGCTCAGACCTTAGTTTTCCTGAGTACATAGAGAAACCAAATAGAATACCTATCTGCATGTTTGTATGATAAACACCACAGTGAAGCGCACTTCCAATGCTAAGTTATTCACCAGCGGGGGTTTATTTTTAAGATCTTCTACATACACATTAAAGCAAATGTAAAATTTTACAGTTAACTGGAGTGCTTTGTTACCCATGGTTTCTACTAAAAATAGTCATTTCCTTAAATGAATAAAGTAAGCTTTAACTATACATCAAAGCTTCATTTTGGGCTTTCATGAAGACAGATTAAGCTGCTTATTACAGCTGAGCATGCAACTATCACATTAGAAATACAGGAAACAAATCTATCTTACCTTCAGGTGCATCTGCATCACAGTCTTTAGAAACAAGTGTCACATTCCTTGGCTGACCATCAATTGTCTCATTACTCTGCATTATAAAAAAGGAAAATTAGTACACTAGTTTACCTGTAGCAGTCTTCCATAGACAATGATAGTGCAGAAACCAAATATATTTTCCAGTGAATTAAAAAAAAATTTGATCAGATCTCTTAGAATATTCAAAAGTATTATTTTTGAACAGTATATGCACAGTAAGCTGTAAGGTGTAGAACAAAAACATTTCTAAATATGATTTCATTAAAAAAAATTAATAGCTTGTGTTCTTCCTGAAGTCTTGAGAAAAATATACTTGAGCTCGGAAACTAAATTTTTAACTGTGCATAAAATTAATTTGAAAATCAACTTTGGTGATGAAGACACCACAAACATGTTAGTATTGGTAACAATAATGAATAACAGTTTACTTCTGGTTTAAAAGCCAGATGGTAGCATGCAACATACTTGGACTGCCAGAGTAGAAGAAGAGAAATTATGCTTAAGTGAACTACTGAAACCCCAAATATCTTAAATGTCCCAAATCTTTGGAAAACTGACCCTTTCAAGGAACATGAACAATCAGTGAATAATTTTAGCAGTGTAAATCCTTTGCATTACATTGATTTTTTTATACCTTGATTCACTTTAAAGGGTCTCATACCTACTGCACTTACTTGCACCCTCATGATTTCCTAAACAGAAAACCCTCTAAAGAGAAACCAGTAAGAGTCAATACCTTTTCTTCAGACTGAAAAATGTTCCTTAAAACGTATCAGCAATCAGTACAAGCTGGCACATAAAACTAAGCTCTAACAAATTAATTGAGGAAGTTTACCAATATTAAGCAAATTCAGCTTTCACTTTGAACAGTCAAGAGAAACTCAATGTCTATCCAAAAAAGCAGCAATTTGTACATGTAGTTAATTTTGTTTAATGCAAGGCCATGACAGCAAGGAGACTGCCTTAAACAGACCTAAAAGGAATAAGACAGTCACAGGGATCAGGAACAAAAGAGAATGTGTAGACAGAAACAACAGAACACGTGAAATTTCAATTATTCAGTGTACATTTAGCAGTTTCCCATCTCCAGAATGTATTCCAGCTGACTGTCAGTATTCCAGCTTACATTTCTCAGTCATACCAAGCACTTCTTTCAAAAGAACAGTATCATACCTTGTAAAATTCCACAGGACACAGGAAAAGCACAAAACAATGACAAAATAGCCATTTCAAAGTTGTATCTTCCTTATTTTCATTCACTATAACATATTAACAGAATTTTAAATACAATAGCTAGACCTATGGGCTTTCTTTGACAACACCTATGCTTTTTTCCAGGTCTTGTATCACTGTTCTCCATAAACATTCCTACAATTTAAGACATTTTTAGTACAAGTATTGCCAGAGTAAAACTTTAGTGTTCTGTTATCCCACCTATTCCAAGGCTGAAAGCAGGATGCATCAAGGCCAAGCATAAGACAAAACTATGGACAGTAACTCAGTATGTGTGCTTCAAGAGCTGACACATTTTGGACACTTCAGATAATAGCAAGTTATTATATAAAGGGTTAGGACACAGCCTGTTACACCTGCATGGTTACTTTCTGCTTATGTTAAGGATTAAGAACTCGGAAAGATCTGTTTCCACACTTAGCTAAGGGATGATACTTCTGGAATCCTGCTGCTGACAATGGAGACACTCTGGGCCCTGCAATTTAGCTCCACTCCTCCAAATTATCTATGTGATGATTGTTTCTGCTCTGGTCCCCAATCAGAGAAACATGGAAAAGTATCCATGCTGCTTATGGCAAGTACTGGCTTTTTAATTCCTGTCTGGATCAACCAAGTCTTAGAGGTCCAACAGGTAAAAATATCAGGAAGCAGTGGTCTTTCTTTCAGACAAAGGCAAAATAACCCTTGGTTTTATTGAACAGAAATAGGAATCATACCTCAAGCACAGGTAAAGTTATGCTTTTGCTAGAAAGCTAAGAAGGTGGCCTGCATGTGGATACAATTCATTCTTTGTGAAAGGTTATGAAAAGACTCATTGCTGATTAACAGATACAATAAATTGCTTCAAGATGTGAAGCCAAGCTGTCCTTGGTGTCTGAAGAGTTATGAAAGTTGAACAAACTCCTACAGAGGGATTTGGTTGGTATGGCACAATATCCAGAATCAATTTTCAAAGGTTTCCTACAGACACCACAGCTGAAGACACTTTTAATGAATTGGGGTCACATGCTTTGAACACACCAGTGCTCAGAGTTAATAAAGCAAGTAGCCCATATCTAGTTAATGCTAATTGCCTCACAAAAGCTCCACTTTTATATACATATTCAGTTAAAAGGAAAAGTTATCAGTACCTCCAAATTAAAAGCACTTGCCAAAAGAGCTGTTTCCAAAGGAAACAGTTCAAGATTCAAACAGGAATCTAACGTATCTCATGCATTACTAGAGATTGTGATAACTATTTAGTTTGACACATTACTAGATTTGGAATTACTGTAGAGCAAAGCAAAGTGGGAAATACTCCTTTCACACAGTCTATGAGCCAACATGAGTCATACACATGTTTATCAGCCCACCCATCCACTAAGCTTTCCTAGAATTATGCTCATTTATTGCTTGGTTCTTACACACTGTTGGTTACAAGTGGTATTTTAAAGGACGAAATCAACAGTAGTGTGAGAGCACAATGAAAACCTGAACAGTCAAAGTGAGCTGGTGCATAGGGTTCTCATCATCAGGAAGCTTGCTATGTCTAGTTCACTTGCCCTGCTCCTGGTTATGTTCCTGAACACTCCTAAATCCAAAATCCATAATCTCTATAATTCTTAAGAACCTCTTCATTTCTACATCCATAGAAAAATATCTTGCTTCTCTTCATTCCCAGACTCTATCTCTCCTCACTTCAATATCAAAATTTAACATCCAGTTACCAAGGTAGTCAGACACAGAAAATGTTTCTGGTACATTGTGAAATACTCTAAGAGGATGTTTTCAAAAAACCTTGTATCTATTTGGTATGCCAGATAAATCAGATGTAATTTACCAGCATATTCTTTGTGTCTCACATTATTTTAACAATAAAACTAGTTTCTACTCAAATTAGATTATGCACTTGAAACACATATCTTTGAAATGAGACATAAGCTGAGGACGCAGGATGGCTATCTTGACCAAATTATTTTTTAATCCTTTAAACAGAAAGTTACAGCTCTACTCAACCGTTCCAACTAATCCTTCCTGCAGTGCTGACCAGAATTATATTGCTATAGCTGCAAGAATGACAAGAGTCTTCCTGCTGCTGTGCTCCATTTTCTTGACCCTTTATTCTTAGAAATTATGCACTTATCTTCAGATACTTCTTGTCATAAACAGCTAACATGTAAGTGTTAAGTATCAAACATTCTGCCTCCCTTAATATATGCACAGTTTATTTTATTCATAAAGGAAAACAAACTGCCAGCTACAGCCTTCGTTATTTGTTTTTCTCTTGAAATCTTCCATGCTATCTACAAACTTTATTGCAAAGGGTTCTATACTCAGTTCACTGCAAGGCTTAAAGACTAATTCAGTAGGACCCTTAATGGAATTGTTCTTCCCACTCTTACACCCACACTGGTTCTGCACTGTAATTGGAAGCATACAATCATTCTACAACATAAAAAACCCCAAACTGTCTTTTACAGGGACTTGAGCTCATAACTAATTCAGATACAGTTACATGATGTTCTAGGCTACATAAACAGTAAGCAACCATGCCAGAAGTTCCATGTAAATGTACCTAAACTGACTTTCATCTTAGTTTCATGCTGCCACTACCCTAATTCTGACAAGTTGAGCCAATTTATACACACCTAAGCATGTTTATTATACTAAGCATAAAAACTAAAAAAATGCATTACACTTCCTAAATACCAAATATTCAAATCCCCTACAGTGATTCTATTATTGTGCTTGGATTAGTATCAGGGTGACCAACTGCCCACTACCAGATAATTCAAATGTAAAGACAGCAGTAGCATTTACTAAGACCTCCAATTCCTGCAGTGACAATCCTACCACAACAACACATTTAAGTTGAGCAAGCTCCTCTTCGCGCCGATTTAACAGGACTCCAAGTTCAATTTCTCCTTGTAATACTCTCACCCCAAGTATTCCATATCCACTGTTGAAGGGAATTGATACAAATAAGTTACAAAATTTACTAAATATCTGCAGTTGAAGGAAGCCAGCAGGCATTCAATTTGTAAAGCAGGTGTGCTCTGCTCCCACAGGAACATCCTCCTGGAGAACTACATAGATATTACAAAAACTCAAACAAGCATCCAGTCACTTCAATCTAATTCCTTTCTTTTGACCACTCCAGCTCAACTGTTTTGTCTTTGTGAAACTCAAACATCAAACAGCACACCAAGGGACCTTGACTCCACTGCACCTGAATAAGCAACCAGTTCATGACCTGGTTAGTCATCTACATTTGCAAGATCAGATCTAATGAAGAATACCCCTGTAATACCAGATCTTAATAAACAGCCATCCATTAAACCTCTCAAGATGCTTCTGAGAATTGAACTTCCCCATAAATATGCAGGCTGACACTCAAACCAAGATGTAATACAATAAATTATTTCTTAAGGTACAGAAGATTAAAGACTTAAAAAAATAAAAAACCTTGAAATACACAAAACTGCAATAACAAAAGCAGAGTAAATTTTAACTGCTTAGTTCTGTAGAAGATTTTACAGTGCAAGAACTGCATGGAGTTTCATGAAGTTCTACAGTGCAAAGTGCCTGAAATGTGATTCATCTGCACACACTTAGCTCCACTCAGATTATTTTCTACTGTACCAAGTTACCTTTGTCATTCCTCATAAATATGCACATAAAAATCATCAACTGTGGAACAACACTGATTTCATTCTGTACACAGCCTTACAAATTCAAAATAATCCTCAACATAGTCATGCAGCAGCCTAAGCAGGCCAGCACCAAATCCAGTGGAAGCTAACAACTGTCTTACCAGAAGGAGTAAAACAAACCTCAGTTTCAAAAAGTCTTCAGATGATCTAGAAATTAAGCTGCTTAATATATAGTGCAATCAGCTTCTGGCTTGTGTATTACCAAGAGACCAGCTAGTATTTTAAAAAAAAAAAACCTGCCTACCAAAGTCTCCTCAAAATCTGAAAATGTGTGACTTCCAAACTTTCTGTAACCCGTACATTTTTAATGCAGAAAACAAAATTTAAACAAAAAAATGCATCTCACCTGTACCAGGTACTTCTGACTTCCATACATTACATACTGTGGGGCAAGACTGTAAATCATGTAGCTTGTATGAAGAACTATCAACAGAAGTATCATACAGAGAAATAAGAGTGCTTGAGGTCGAGTTTTTCCTCGTCTGATTTTATAAAGCTAAAACCAGAAAAAAAAATTAACACAATGAAATATTTCTCTTTTTTTGAAAGCATTCAAAAAACTCTTCAGTTAAAATAAGTTTAAATTCTACTGCCAGAAGTAGGAGGTTGCTAAAATTACCTTCTGGTAATTTCATTCCACTGGTTCAAAGCAGGTTTTCAGGAGTATTTACCCAAATTTCAAAGCACAGCTATTTAACCAAATTAAGTTCTATTTGCATTAATGACCCAAAACATACACTAGCATTTAGTAGCAAGATTAAAATTGCCTGTGACCTATAAAACCCTGTGTATTGGTTTATCAAAGAATATTCTGTCCTTTGGTCAAAGTGAGGTGTCATCTGTCCCTATATCCCTCATCAGATCTAGAAACAGAGGATGGAGCCATGAGAGAGCATTCCCAGGTTGAGTAAAATGGATACAGTGGCATCCTGTCCATTCAACATTGCAGGGGACAACATAATCCTTCCTTGTTGCCCTGTAGACACATCTACTCTAATTCCCCTCAGTCTGAGTATCATGTTAGGGTAAAAAAGCTGACAGGGAAAATGACAGCACCAAGACCAACAACTAATCTCACAACTCATTGCAAAGACTGATGGCTATTGTTCACTATTTTGAAGTGTCACCACGTGACAAGGTGACAATTTCCAAGGGAAAGTAGGCACATTAGCAGGGTAATATTTAACCAAGTACCAGAGAAAGGCACGTCATGCTATTGGATACAAAGCTGCTTGTATACAATAATAAATTATTTGCATAATATTTAGATAGCCCTACCACTACTGCACTATTTTCTCTTATGAAGCTAAACATGCTTGTCATGCAGCTGGTAATTCAAGAACCTCTGACTACATGCCACATTATAGATTTTGACCAAAAAGTTGACAAGTAGTTCAAATAGAACAATCATGTGGCTTTAACTTAGAGCTAAATGGACACTGATTAGACACTCGAAGGAGTCAGGTGACTATTGCTCAAATTAAAACAGCAGTTTGATGACTTGGCAGTCTGATAAGTTGATAAAATGAAACACCTTCCAAAAGCAGTGCAAACTGTACAATAGGCTTTTAACGTTCATTAGGCGTACAGACATTGCTATTAGCAACAGCTCGTATTTATAAAGCAATAAAAAAAATACATTCAAGAGCATATATTTTTTAAATATGAGTATTAGAAACTAAACTCTTAAGTTATATTTACCCTTGTCCAGAAGAACCATATTCCCATGTTTCGAATCCCTGCCATTGAAGTGAAGATAAAGTACATGACAATGGTTGTGATAAGAATATAATCAAGTGGAAAAACCTAAAACAAGAACACAAGCAGTTAAAGACAAGGAAAAAAGCTCTTCTCCCACTCAAAACTAAGTAGTTTCTACTTCTGTAGCTTATATCTGAGGTAGTCAAGAATCCTATTTTAAAGTTTTACATAGCTGACTCCAAATATAGCTAACATAGCTTGCTGCTAATAGAGCTTAGACAATTAGCTTGAGAAAGTACCAAGCCTTTTTATTCATTTAAGACATGCCTTAATTTTGAAGTGTTATATATATATTTGAGGCCATGAAATACTTAATTATTTTAAATATGTCCACAGAATGACAAGTCCACAGTGGCAACAATTATTTCGGGACTGCATATTTGTTACTATTTTTCTGATCATATTTGTATACAAAAATTGATCTTTATATTTACATTAATAAAAGCTTGAGATAATATTGCTGCTGAACACTGTTTTTCTCAGTGAGCTACAAGCTTACATATTTAATAGTTTTAAAAGCCATGGGGAAGCAATGCATTGTGCTGACCCATTGTATCAAGAATATAGGAATAAGCTGGGGGGGAATATAGGAATCAGCTAGGGAGGAATAAAGCACTAGCTAATTAAAGCTTTTCTTTTCCTCAGTTCACTCATGACAAACTCAAATTTGTATGTGTACTTGTTGCCTTCCAACTGCTCTGTAGTTAAAAGATGTATGTTTTTACACTGGATTTGCTTCCAAGACTAATACCTTACTATAACATACCCAATGTATGTTATAAAGCTTAGTTTTCAATGTGCAATATATTAAAAAGTGCAAAAATTGAATTTACTTCACTAAAAAGGCCTAAGCTATCCAGTAGACCAACTAGAATGCATGTAGAACATGGAACAAAGTTGCTTTTATTCTGTGAAGAGTAGTAACTACAACTGCTGTCATTCTTTGTTCCCACTGTCTTCTCATCACATCAAAATCGCTTTCAAGCACCACCTTCCTTGTCCAAACCAGATTCCATTCACCCAAGATTTTAATATCAGTAATTAAAAACTAAAGATAATACAGAAGTTGCCTTGCTTTTACTGAACACGCATCTAGAAAATGTTTTAATGAATTAGGGGAATTCATTATGAATTCAATCAATGAATTGGGAAAACGTTTAGAAGAAAACAGAAGAGCGTTCTTACATATGTATATCACCATTTCTTTACTTACTCTTTGAAGAACTGGTAACAGCATATTCAATGGATTGGTTAGATTAGTTCCTAGAATTATAAATCCTGAGTCGAAGCCAGCCGAATGCAGAGCTTTGTCCAAACTGCAGGAATTAGAAAAACTGTGTAAGTACTGTGGTTCTCCCAGACCCTTATCCTTAGTTTAATTTAAAAGAGCAGCTCAAAAGAAAAAAAAAACCAAAAAACTGAACTAACCCCAGAGAGTGACAGCTGTCTAGTGTCTATACAGATACATACTTTGCTTTACCACACTCACTGCACTTGTTCTGTGAAAGACTTGCTGAACATATATGCTTAACTCCTCTGCTGAATCAGAACTGTTTTCTGCCTGAAACATGTTCTTTCTTCAGTTTATTTTGGTACATTTTGCTCCATTTCAATATGTACTATTATAATGTGAAGTGCAGCTCTACTGAGAGAGACGTAACATTGAAAAGAAGGGAGCTGACTCAAACCACACCAATTTTTATATTAGAGAAGAAACTAAGTAGTTTAAATGGTTAAGAAAAATGCTGAAATGTACTTACTTTGACAAGAACAGAGAGACAGTGAAGAGCAATGCCACGATGATGAAGAATACTCCCCACACAATCTACAAATAAAAATTCAGAACAATTTAACAAAGTGTTTGCAGTTGATGCAAGAAGTGAACACTTGCCTTTGTTTCAATAGCAAACTAATCTTGGAGCACTTCAGAGCTTAAATACACTTGAAGCAGTAACTTTTTGGTAAATACTTAAGAGAAGTGCTCACAAAGCTTTTACCCTGTTAAACATAGTTTGTCAAGTATATCACATGCTCTAGTGTAATACACAAATCCACCCCAATGTCAAAAGTGACATTAAGAGATGACACATTATATTTAATGAACACAGCATTCAGCAGAACTCACAACCTGTACTCGCTATATTATGTAGAAAGCCTTCCTTAACTATGTATACACATTTAGATTTAATTAATTAGAGAATAGTGCCTTGATCACCCCACCTGTGTGCTCACCTTCCAACAGAAGGCAATCTGTGCACAGCTTACAAGGAACATCTCACCCTTCCTAAGTAAAAGCTCCTTTCCTGTAGCACCATTCTGAAATGTACAATGACCAAGTCACTTGGGAGTGATGAAAAACTCAACCAAGCCCAAATGCCAGGTCCTCATTTAAACACAGAAAAGTGTTTTTATTATGCCTACCAAATACAGCACTTGAGCCAGGAACTGATTCTCCAAGCTGTCTCAACCAGAACATCTACTGTCTTTCCTGGGTCATCAGCTAGTTCAGGAAACCATTCTCCCTCCTTCTGACAGGTTTTCTCCCTCACAATCTTTTCCCTGGGGAGTTTAGGGGATGATACACAGGAGAGAGCCCAGATAGGAAACCCATCCAGTTACAGTTCCAAAAGTTTCACTGTGTTTTCCTAGAAACTCTAGTCATGGAATACAATCAGATAAGCACACTTAACTTCTCCAGACATTTTCAGATTGCTAGACTTGAGACCTAGACAGAGTAATTTCAAAAGTCTTTATGCAGGAACACAATGCATGGTCTCTCACATGAATGAGGGAGTTCCACAGTTTATTTTACTAGCCTCAAAACTTGGCACACAACCATCACGAAAAGGTTAAGAACTTTATTACAGCTGCTAATTAATGGCACTCAGATACAATACTATTACTGGTCATTAAATTCTGAAAATAAACTTCCATCTGCAAACTCTAACACAATATTAGAACATCACTTATAAAACAACTCAAATTATGTAGGTCTTCTAAGATATAGCTTTAGAGATCAGTATCAAGGAAAGCATTAAGTATTGCATTTCCCCATAATTAAATGTACCAAGTTTTACCTCTCCACAGCAAACTCCTCCTAGGTATTAGCTGTACAAGAAATAGATATTCAAAACCAATTGAGGCCAGGAGTCTGAATCTCATAATTCTTCACTACCTTCTGCCAGCTATGGCCACTAGACAGGTATTTGTATCTCCTCTGGAATATGCCTGTCTTCTGAAGTGACATCTAACATTTAGAAATGTTAGTTTTAGGAGTTTGCCTGCTATCCCCACTCCTGGATCAGTCAAGCTAAGATATTTCATCTGTGGATAATTTTGAAGTGTTACTAAGATAACCATGGAATTTCAGACTTAATTACTCGGAGCAGAAATGATCCACAAACAGTTGGTAATTGTTTAAAAAGCCTCAAAAATAACTTCCAAGAATTGTTAATATTCACCCTGTAGATAGGCACCAAGCTCAGCAAAAGAGGTGATACTCCAGAGAATGGAGCAGACATTTCTACCTCAGCCTAACCTAGATGACCCTGTAGTCCAAAGGACTATGCCAGAGCAGATAACCACACTTAGCCTATAGAGAATCCCACATCAGAACAAGAGGGTATTTCCTAAAGGAAGCCACAGCCTACAGAGATCCCACATGTTCCTCTGACAGGAACTACAATTCATGAAGTCCACTCACACTGGAACAGAAACAGTGTGATGAGGAAGCAACAGCAGAGTAGAGGTGTTATGGACTAATAGTAACTCCCTATTCCCTTCTGTGCCACTCCAGAGCCAGGACAAAAGGAGCTGAGCCTTGGAAAGAAAGAGTGGGGTCTCTGTTCATGCAGATCTCAAACCAGCACTTGATTTTCTTATATTACCTGAGGTATCTCCAGTTTGTTCCCACTGGCTGAGAAGAACACCATGAAAATACAGATGCAATACTACCAATTTATTATTGTTGAGCAGACTTCCATGTTTCATGTCCTATAGTCTTGTCCACACATTGAACAAACATAGCTATGTGCTCTGGAGTTAGTTTTCACTATTTTTTTTTATAAACTCATAGTATAGACATCTCATATAGACATTTCTCCTGTTGCTGACTATGAGATGAAAGTGGAAGAAATAAAAAGAAGAGAAGCAGGAAATGTTACATTTTGTAGAAAGAAATTAGACTAATTCAACATTACTCAACAACCCCATGTTGGCCAATATTCAGTTCCCTGGGATCTTAAGATGCTCAGCTTTTGACTGAATTGAAAAACTAACAGCTTCACCTTTGAGTTAGCTTTGAGTAAAATAATTGTCAAGAGAGGCTTTCTACTTTTCAGTTTTGCCTTTAACAACAAATCCCATGCTAACAGATACCTAGCAGTAATAAAACAATTAAAACAAGAACACTTGAGGACACAATACAAAGACAGTAGTTAACAGAAGTTTGAATGTAGACACTAAGCTAATACTTAGTGTAAAAGACCTTGAAGATAAAGTGCAATTTGTGAACATGTTATTCTGTTAGCCCCAATAAGAGTCTGAAAATCCCATAAACTGACTGTCCCAAATATAAAACAGAAAAAGGATTCTCTATCTAGTATTTGCTTCACAAGAAATGGAATTTCTCTTGAGGTCTAAGAAGCAGACACATATTTGAACAGTAACATCCAAATTGAAGCCACTGAAGGTGAAAATGTTGTAAAACCATAAGCAAAGCTCCAAGATTTTCTGCACTTCTACATTGAATAGAAGTACTATGTATAGATAGTGAACAGATTTTCACCTTTTCTTAAAGCCCAATTGAACAACTGACAGTTATATACCTGCAAAGACATCCCAAATGCTCTTCAAGCAACAGTAAAACAGCTCTGTAAGAGTTAACATGCAATTAAGTGATAGACATTACCACCTTCATAGGACAGCTCTAGTCAAAGTAAACAAGTTCTGACATGCTTCATAGCACAACCACAGTATAAGAAAAATCTGTCAGGAAAAATTATCCACCTGCAACTCTGCTTTAGTCTGTGATTCATGAGTCAACAACTCAGTGACTGTCACAGTTACTGAGAGAATACAAAGATTTCAAACCGCAACAACAAGGAGACACTGGAATACGATCCAGACTGTAGGTGATAAACCGTGAGTAGGTAATAATATTGTATGCTTTCCTGTGAGAACACAATGAACTGTTAAAGTCAGAGACAAAATATATGGCAAACATACTTCTCAAATTTGAGCTTTATGTGCAAAGTTACAGAAGCTTAATACTTAATATACAAGCTGTATTTTTTAAATCAAAAGGAAGCCTCCAAACTGTTAACATGAATAGTTAGGGATATTTGTCCTTTCAATGAAAGAGCTCAGTCTGTATTTGTAATGTATCGTAGCAAGATAACTCCTCTAAGAATTGCACACTGAAAGCTTTTGTTCAGCTGCAATTTCAGCCCATAGCCTTCAGCACTCAGCATTAACAGCAGCATTGACAGAAGAAATTGTTTACAACCCACCCCCCTCTCCCTAGCTTTCCCAAAAGCAGCCTACAGTTGAAAGTAATGCTGAAATTTCTTCCTACAGCTAGTTGGCAAGAAATACTTTATATGGCAACACTGTTCATAAAAGTACTAGTTTTCAAAACCAGGTATCTACTGAAAATCAAAGTCCTAAGATCAAAGAGACCAAGATAAAAGCTTTGCCCTAGTAACCATCTCTTTTCAATTGGTTAAGTTCCATGACATTAAGTTCTATTCAGCTAGCTTGCTATTTATCAAGTAATTCCTCGGCAAGATGCTTGTTCCAAATGCATATATTATCAAAGTGTCTCATTTCTGCTGGATACATGTAATTTAGATTAACCTAAGCTAACTGACAGCTATAGGATTCTTCCTTCTCTTCTTCTCATTTTTGTATGTTTGATAAAAAAGTAAGATATTCAGTTTTTTATGGCAGTAACACTACAGTAGATCAACTAGGATTTGCTAATTTTTAATCTAAATCAGAGCTAAAACAAAGTAAAAGGTATTCTAACAGGTCACAATTCACTTTAGGGATATCATTGTGCAGTACTGGAGTAAATTTAAAAAAAATAAAAAAAGCAGTTGATATTCAGGGTAGTCAACTTGACCTGTGCTTTATGTGGGAAAAGAAATTGGAAGTTATTTCAATTTAAGTATCAAAAAGTCAGAAGTTTTACCTTCAGAGGTCGAATAGCTTCACAGAACTTTGTCCACCAGCTTTTCTCAATAGACTCCAGATGCCTCTCTCTCCTTCGAAGTGTCCTTAATCTCTCTTCTAGCTGTTGTAAAGTCCGTCTATCCCTCGATGACAGAGGACGACCATCTCTGCACTGGTTACAAAAAGAGGGCAGAAGATCAAGAGTCACTAAATCAAGAAAACAGACTCAATAGCTACTTAAATTATTTACAACAACTCTAAAGAATTGCTAGTATATAATTCCTGCATGTATAATTTCTATGAATATCAAGAGGATGAAGTGCAAAAGTCACAAGTTGCAATAAGAGGAATTCCTATTTAGGTGGCAGAAGCCACTTTTCACAATGAAAAATGTTCAAAAACTTTAACAGGGTGGATAGTCTCCGTGGCTAGAAATGGTTTAAAAGCACAGTCGTGATCTAAATAACCTGATCTAACCTGGAAGAGGTCCATATTTTGTGTGGAGGGTTGAACATGGTGATTTTCAGGTCACTTCCATTAAATTCCATGATTAAGCTTATATACCCATTTTGGCACTTCTTTTCTTTTCAACATTCCACTCAATACTCAGCTATGTTTCTTGAGCAAGAAACATAGGTCAGATGAGAGGTAAAATCACCCCAAGAATCAGTTAAATATACCAGATACATTTTTTAGCATAATGATCTAAAAAACTATTTCAATTTTGAGCCTTTAAACACTGAGCAGGAACTATTACACCCTGCTGTAAAGTTAGTAGCACATCCTCATATGTCAGTTATTTGCTATAAGCAAAAGCAACAAAATGAGCATTAGGTAGCTGAACCAAAAAATTTGAACAAACAAAATTGTTTCTAACATTGATACTTTTATATTATGAACTCATACTTGGAAAAAAGATTATTTTGTAGTAGGAAATACACTAAAACTATATTTTAAAGTTTTGAAATTCCTTGTTAATTTTCCTCTTATTTTAAAGGATTCTTCCTGTAAATAATATAACACTTTATACCAGTGAAGTTAAAAAAAAATTAATTTGTCAAAAAGACTATGATCACATTATAGGCACTACACATAGCACTTAAATTGGAGATTACAATCTACTTTTAATAGGAACATGTGTACTATACCCTGCATAGCACCTCTGACTTAAAAAGGGCTTTTTGACAACAGTTCAAGCTCCCAATCCGCAAGATCAAGCTTTAATAATATAATACTAATGAAATAAACCTTCCAGATGTACTAGTAATTACATACTACATATTGTATCTCAGATGCATACCTCCATACTTCTAATTTTTACTGTATAGTACTCTCAGTAACACAACTTAATGCACATATAACTGAATAGCTAAGATTTCCATTACAGAATGAGGTAGAATCCTGACCAGAATCCATAAAACAAGAAAAACTAGTTCCCACTAAAGGTCATATTACAACATAAACACAAATTAAGAACTTTCTACTTTTTGAACCTATAGCTTAACCAGACTGAACAGTAATGACCAGTTACATACAAATTACAATAATACAACATTTCCAGGGACTTCTGTAATCAGAAATGATCCATTAGTCACAGATTTCTCATTTTTCTCATACTGATTTCAGTATGGGATAACTTTGGTGCTGTAGTATTTTGTGCAGAACCAAAACATGGTAATTTAAACAGACTATTTTTTAGATTTCTTTATTCAACAAAATATCTAGAGCACTGAAGGTGCCCACACTGTGTAGAGGTAAGCCAAGTGTCAAGGGAAGACTGTTGGAACTGCTTCAACATCTCTGAAGTCTACTATCACAGAGCACAGAACAGCACAGATGGACTGCCAGGATGGAAGTGAGGCACCTCCATGTCACTTTTCCCAAAAAAGGCTGTGAAAACGCTGGTCAAGCCATTATCTGAAATGGGTTGAAAAAAAGAGGTGGGAGATTTTTCCCTATCATCTTGTATGTAAAAAAAACTTATGCTTCTTTGGCTTGCACTCAGATTGTTTAAAGTGTCTTGCTTGTATGAGGCACAGCATTCCCATTAGCTGCAAAACCATCATGGGTTTACAAATGGCTTCACATCCTAGGGATATTTAGGACTCAGAACAGCTTTCCATATGTATGCTTTTCATAACGAGATTTATAACAGCAAGGTACATTAACTGGGAAACATGAATATCTGGAGCTGTTATTTATTCATAAAGATGATTAATAGTTTGATGAATCCAAATCATGACAGCTCTACGTGCCAAGTATCCAGTGTTAACTACACTGCATTGAGTAAGTAATCAAATTGGATGTCATTTCTGGTAGCAGACTAAGTGAAGTTAGTATCTACAAAGCATCTTTTCCATGCAAGCAGGCCTTGAGAAGTTTCATTTGTTAACACTTATTAAATAAGTGTTTATACTTAAATAAGACAGAAATAACTACTGCTGCAGGACTGACAAAGAATATAATCACTGCTACACAAGTGACCATGTGTTCCTAAGTAAGTCAAATAACTGCAAGCCATTAATTTCTGACTTACTATTTTTTCTGGAACAAAGACTCTACAGCATGACCATGACCTAGTAAGCAAGGAAAAAAAAATCATTAAGAAAGTGAGAACAACGAAAACCTTACCTTTGATTTAATCCTCAGTAAATGTTGTTCCACTTCTTCAATATCTTCAGTGTTCTCTAAACGTTCGTAAGATGCACTGGTAGTTCCCTTTATCAAGTTTAGAGGCAAAGCTGACATACCATAAGCCTTAAATAAAAAGGAAACATATATGTTCAAATTTTCTGCTATATATTTTTATCTGATAAGGCTGCTCAGTGTTGCAGCTATGAGGTATCACTACTGGGTGGTTTTTTCACTCCATCTGCATACTCTAAGGCAACCAATTCCTTTCCCCTGTCGAGCAAAACAAACCTGCTATGCAAATTCCAGCATCCCACATCACTCCAGTGGTACTTAAGCATCTCATGACCACTCTGACATATATTAAGACTTCATGTAAGCACAGCACACTGATGATTTATCACACTAGCTCTTGTTTCTTGTAAATCGCATAGCTTCCAGAAAATTTAATTCTACCACTTTAGATCAAAATCAATGTTTTGTGCAATACAGAAGTTTCTAGACATTGAACACTAGTATTTTTAAAAGTAAAGTATACACAATTTCTTTGCAGCCAGTAATCTTCAAGTTGCTTTTAAAATAAAATTGTTGAAAGTACCTAATTCACTAAAACCAAAATTCTGCAGTAAAGAGGAAGCAAAAGTTATGTGAACAATTGAACTCGGTTACATTCCAAGACTACTTAGATACCCATTCACATTCATAAATTTGGTTGGAATTTATTCCTCATTATAAATTCCATGTCATTCCAAGTGTTTTGCCAGCTTCTACATCAACAGTACACCCAGATTTTTCCAATGCAAGGTCCGTAAGCTTTCGACTAACAAAGAAAGATATTTGAGGCAAGATAAACAAGAAAATGGCATTACTTTCTCTCTGTTACCCTTTCATTCTTATGGATCAAGGCCAAGATCAGAAGTTTCTCCAGGCAGTTTAGAGACATTAGCCATAAGCTTGTAATTTGTTTATTGTGGATGATATGTTGTTCTTGGTGCAGAGCTCAGCAGGAAGGTTCTTTTCTCCCTCAGCAATTAACACACACAATTTTACTAGAGCCTTTGATATCTGAACACTTGCTAACTTCAGAGAATTGTTTCAGTTGAAAAAGACTTCTAAGATTACCCAGTTCAACCAGTAACCTAAGTCCAAAGTGCCAAGTCCACCACTAAACCATGTCCTAAGGACCATGTCTACAAGTCTTAAATACTTCCAGAAGTTTGATGAGTGGTTTTTCTAGATGTTCACAGAAATACCACTCCCTCCTTCAAGCACAGTTTTACATTTCCTACTGAGAATAGATTTAACATCGCTAGTGTGTTAAAAATGTCACCATACATGCTGTCATAGCACGAGTTTTCTGCACACAAGACACAATTTGACCAGCTTAGAAACCTACTTTGATATAATAGTCTCATGCACTGAACCCAGAGCAAGGCACTGTCCATTTTTTGATTATATTTTTGAATATGTCATAACTTAGCCTAGACTTGACAATGCCTGTCAGCTCTCCCTTTAGACTACCTCCTTTGAGAGTATTAAGCTGCTTTGCCACCTACAAGAGGCTGCAGATATTGTCTACCTGGAGTTCAGCAAAGCCTTGAACACCATATCCCATAGCATTCACTTGGAAAAGTCAGCAGCCCACAGCTTGGACATGAGCATGCTTTGCTGGATTAAGAACTGGCTGGATGGCTGGGCCCAGAGAGTGGTGGTGAATGGTGCTGCATCCAGTCACTTCTGGTGTCCCTCAGGGATTTGTGCTGTCCTCGGTCCTGCTGGAAAAGGGACCTGGGAGTGCTGATGGACAGCCAGCTGAATGTGAGCCAGCATGTGCCCAGGTGGCCAAGAAGGCCAATGGCATCCTGGCCTCTGCCAGCAACAATGTGGCCAGCAGGACCAGGGCAGCCTGCTTGTGACATTCTCCCTCTGTACTCAGCAGTGGTGAGGCTGCACCTTGAGTGCTGTGCCCAGTTCTGGGCCTCCAGTTTAGGAAGAACATTGAAGTGCTGCAGCAAGTCTGGGGAAGGGCAACAAGGCTGGTGAAAGGTCTAGAGAGTAAGTCCTGTGAGGAGCAGCTGAGGGAGCTGGGGGTGTTTAGCCTGGAGAAAAGGAGACTCAGGGGAGACCTTATCCCTGTCCACAACTGCCTGAAAGGAGGCTGCAGCCAGGTGGGGTCAGTCTCTTCTCCCAGGTCGCCAGTGACAGGACAAGAGGACACAATCTTAAGCTGCACCAGGGGATGTTTAGGTTGGACATAAGGAAGAAGTTCTCCTCAGAAAGGGTGACTGGGCATTAGAATGTGCTGCCTAGGGAGGTGATAGAGTGACTGCTCCTGGAGGTGGTTTAAGGGAAGACTGGATGTGGCACTTGGTGTTATGGTCTAGTTGACAAGATGGTGGTGGACTTGATCTCAAAGGTCTTTTCAAACTTAGCTAATTCTGTAAAAAGCACTCTCCCACAATTCTCTTCTCTAGGCCAAACAAAAAATTCCTCAGTTTTTATTTATGGGTTGCTCTCTGCCACTTGGTAATCATGTCCACAAGCCTTCATTGGAACCTCTACAGTTTACCTGTTTCATAAACTAGGGGACCAAAACTAGACAATTTCTAGGTGTGGTTTTTGAAGTGCCAAATACAATGAAAATGTCCACGCTCTTGCCGAGGCAAGCCCTAGACACTGTATTTCTGCTGCAAGGCACACTGCTGGATCATGCCCAGCTTGCTGCCCACTAGGACTTCCAGGTCATTTCCAGCAGAACCATCTCCCAGCTGATCAGACCCAAGCATGAACTATTGCTTGGAATTAACTCATTGTAAGAAACTAACTTAACATCTACTAAACTTGATGTCATTCTTGTTGGCCCAATCTTCCCATCTGACAATATCTGTACAGTGGTTCTTTGTTCTTCTATCTACTGCTCCCACACTTGCTGTATTTCTCAAACTATACATACTTGAAGTATGTATAACTGACAATGACAATGTAACCTTGTTACATCTTTAGGATCCATACAGACCCTAAAGAGCTCACTCAGATCAGCTAGTAGCAAAACTACAGAATTTAGGGGACATGTGAACACCATACAACATCATAAACTATAATGCAGGTTGCAACTTATCTGAGGTCCCTCTCTGGAACCCAAAAGATTTCTAGCTAGTGCCAGTGTGCAGAAACATGTAAGAGATTACTACGACATGTGCCTAAACAATTTTACAAACCTGAACTTAGAAGTAATTAGATTTCAACATCTGAGGTTTCCACCTATTCTTCAAACAGCTAATGTATCAATTAACATATCAAGTATTCACTCTATGAAATAGTTAAGAAATAAATTACAGGGCTTGAAAGTTTAGTCTAAATTTCTACAAAGAAAAATACAAGTCTCAAAGTGATATATTGTTTTGCTGTTTTTGAAAATGTGAACTACATACTCAAACATCAGGCTTGCTATAGTGATAAAGGCTATTCAGGTCCTTGCCTGAATACAGAAGACACCAATAGTAAGACGATTATGCAACTAAGGCTCCCATCATCAGTGTGAAGAAAGGACACATTGGTCCTTCAAGATAACAAAATACAGAATGAAGGACAGAAAAATGAGTCATCTCATATGTGTCACAGGTCTGAACAGAAGCTGTATTAGCTCATTTTCAGGGCTGCGTTTCCCTTCAGGCTGATAAGAAGTTCAAGGCTGCCCTGGACAAAGTTTTAATCCCCTGGGTTAATACAAGTGTTAAATTATTCAAGGACTATTATTTCAGGCAACTGCAACTTAACAAGCAAAGAGTGTATTGAGGATAGCAAAGGAAAACAAGCCAAAGATGTAAACTACAGCCAAGAGAGAGCTTAGTCCTGAATCAAGCTGTGGGATCAAAGTTTGGAATATGAAAAACATTAAAACACATCAAAATAGCCTTTAAAGCAGTTAACAGAAGTTATGTACGTTAATTTATTATCAAACAAGTAATTCTTGACATATTTATACCACTGAAACAACAGATTCCAGGACTTATTTTTAGACTGGCTTTTTTTTTTTGTCTAGAAGTTTTAAGTTAAATAAGAGACACTGTACCAAAGACTAAAACCACACATCCAAAGGTAATAGTCAATTACAGTATACATGCAGTTTTGTAACATAGGTGCTTCAAAATGAACTGAGTCTGGTACTAAATACTAACTGTTCAGGTTGGTATCTGATAACACACGTTGCAAAGATAGGTCTCTATGGCCTCAGGTTCTATCTCTGCTCTTACTTGGATGCTGGATCAGCTTCATTGAAACCACATTTCTGAATAGAAAAAAAAAATCTAAATTTGTAATTCAACCAACTAATTTTAGAGAAGTTTCCCCTCTCTTGAATCACAACTGCTCAACACATCACCACTATCATTTAGCTTAGGGGCTAGAAAGCCAAATCTTAAGAGCTCACTACCTATTAATTACAAGTTAGAAGCACCATCCATGAGCAGCTGTCTTGTTCTCATTTGAGTCTCTATCTACAGGCATCTCTGGAGGGATGAAGCTTGTACTCATATACTTTTTGAAGTATAAGACCTTCTACTCTAAAGGATAAGGGAAAAAACACAGAACAACTTACTGCAACAGAAAACCTAGCTTCCCTACCCTATTACAACAGTCTAAACAAAGCTTTTGAGACTCCTGCCTTATTTGTTACTCAGAGAAGTGGTAGTTCAGTCTGAGACAGTAATTTGAAAATAAATCCATCAAATAAACTCCATACTCCAGACAGAGCATTAAATACCTTATGATAAAATACATGAGCATTGCATCTAATTTGCTTAATCTCCACTTCTCCCAGGTCCCTTTCCTTCTCATCCTGTAGCAGATTCAACTACTCTTGTGTCATTCACAGTTAAGCTTTAGAAGGAAGAGCTGCTGTTCTGGTTCTTGGTCTCTTGCAGACTCAGCATGTTACAACACTTGAGACTTGCCAGACTCACATAACCCAAGGCCAGATAAAGGAAGTCTTTCCTACTAGGTGCCTGCTATGCTAATAACAGTCACTCAAACAGAAAGCAGAAGTGAAGTTGAAGCAAGTTGTAAAATCATGCTATACTGAAGTTGTTGCATCAAGCGACTACTTCAGTGATAAACTCCTGAGTATT